CGGGGCGCGGCGGGGAGGGGGGGGAGCCTTAAAGGGCCCGGGGGGGTGTGCAACGGCACCGGCGTGTGAGTGCGTGAGCGTGCTCGTGTGCAATGAGACACGTGTGAGCGTGCACCGCGTGCTTGTGTGCAATGGGGTGAGCGTGTGCCACATGCTGGTGTGCAGTGGGGTGAGCGTGAGCGTGCGTCGCGTGCTCGTGTGCAATGGGACACGTGTGAGCGCGTGAGCGTGCACTGCATGCTCGTGTGCAATGGGATGAGCGTGAGCGCGCGCCGCGTGCTCGTGTGCAATGGGACATACATGTGTGCACTGCATGCTCGTGTGCAATGGGATGAGCGTGAGCGCGCGCCGCGTGGTCGTGTGCAATGGGACGCGTGTGAGCGTGCGCCGCGTGCTCATGTGCAATGGGATGTGTGTGAATGTGCATGAGCGTGCACCACGTGCTTGTGTGCAATGGGACACACGTGGGATGCGCGTGAACGTGCACCGCGTGCTCGTGTGCAATGGGATGTGTGTGAATGTGCATGAGCGTGCACCACATGCTTGTGTGCACTGGGACACACGTGAGCGTGCATGAGTGTGCGCCATGACCTAGTGCAACGGCCCGTGTGTCAGTGTGTGACAGGCTGGTGTGCAATAGCACATGCAAGTGTGAGTGTGCACCATGAACTAGTGTGCAATGGCCCACCTGCGTGAATGCACGTGTGCACACCATGGGCTGGTGTGCAGTAGCACACGTGTGAGCGTGCACCACGCACTACCGTGCAATGAGCTGTGTAAGAGCGTGTGCACACTGTGGGCTGGCGTGCAATGACACACACGTGAATGCATGTGAGTGTGCACCAATGTGCTAGCAATGACACGCATGTGAGCATGTAGCTGAACCATGGGCTGGTGTGCAATAGCACCAGCGTGAGTGTGCACCATGGGCTGGTGTGCGATGGCACGCGTGTGATGGCACACGTGTGTAAGCATGGGTGTGCCATGGGTAGGCGTGCAATGGCACACATGTATGTAACAGCCAAGTGTGCAACAGCACACGTGTGAGTGTGTGCGGCAGGGGGGCGTGCAGCTGCGCACACGTGTGTGTGTGCCCAAGAGCCTGGTGTGCAACTGCTCTCGTATGTGAGTATGCGAATACATGTGTGTGAACGTGCGCGTGCAAGAGGCTGGCAGGGAATCGCGTGCGTGCACATGCATCGATGAGAAGCGGGCGTGCAATGACACACGTGTGCCCTGCGCACAGCGGCCTGCGTGCAGCTGCACACGCACATGCATGCACATGCAACGGGCCTGCGCGCAGCTGCACATCTGTGCGCGAGCGCATGCGGCAGGCCGGCGGGCAGTCGCACACGCGTGTGAGCACGCAGGCGGCTGGCGGGCAGCGCGGGCATGCATGAGGGGCTGGCGTGCCCTCGCACGTGTGCACACGCGCGTGTGCAAGACACCCCCCCCGCGCATCTGCCGGCCCCGCCGGCTGCCCGCCCCCCCCCCGGCAA